TTGGTTGTGCACAAATCCTGAGGCTGCAGCAGCCAGGGAATGACTGCTGGGCCATTAATTGTTTAATGGGAATTTCCTCCATCTCCTGGAGAGAGTGGCTGAGCTGGGAGCGAGGGGCTTTCCCAGACAGGTGGCTCTGGGCTCTGAGAGCCCTTGGGAGCCATCGAGAGCCCCTCAGGTGTCACAGAGACCAGGGCACATCCCTGCAGGGGGACAGTGCCCGTTCCAAAGGTAAATCTGGGATTGGGGCTGGACTAACACGAGCCTGGACGGGGCTTGGACCGACCTGGGACAGTGGGAGATGTCGTGCCCTTGGCAGGGGGTGGGATGGGATGATCCTTCCGTTCCCTTCCATCCCAAACCATCCCAAAATTCCAGGATTCTGTAAAACCAAGGCTGGCTTGGGGCTGTGCTGCACAGTCTGGGAAAGAAACCCTCCAGATGACTTTGAAATGTCATTAAAGTTATTTTTATGCAAGGGGGTTCAGTGTATCTGTTTAAACAGCAAATGCACCAAACGATGCTTTAAATATTAATACAGGAGGGTGTCTCACTGAATTTAATTTTCCCAGTTGATTCCAAGCTGCTCTGGATAGCACAGGGAGGAATATTTGCTATTTTTGCTGCCCATGAGAAGAGGCAAGAGGCAAAGAAAAGCTCCTTCTGCACTTACAGGTGGGCAGGGAGGAGGAGAAACTGGAAGGAAAACAAGAACAAGGCAGCCAGTCCCAGCAGCTGGGAAAATGGGAGGACAAACATGGAAAAAAAAATCTATTAATCTTAATTTCAGATTTTCTTTTGCCTGCAGAAAAGAAGTGGGAAGAGGAAATAGACCCAATTTATGAAAGCTGATCAAATATGCATTCATCTATTTAATTGGAAATGTTATTAAAGAGTTGCAGGTATGAGCCAGATCTAGAGAGCCACCAATTTAAATATGATTTAAATAATTCTGTCCCCTTTCCAAAAGGAGATAAAGGCTCCTTTAATCCCTCCTGGCCTCTCTGGATGGCTCTGCTCATCCCTGTTCCCTCAGGACAGGATGGGCAGAGCCAAAATCATCCTGAACTCCCCCAAATCAGCCAGACCCCACCTTCATCTGAGGGAGAAATAATTTACATTTGCCCATCCTTTGGCATGAGGGACATCCTGGGAGACACAGAGGCTGTAAATAAGTGCAGTGGTACCACAGAAAATAAAGCCCTGAAGTGTTACAGGATCTCTTTTTTTATGTATTTTTTTCTTCCAGCAGATTTTGGTATTGCCAGTGCTGCTGGCAGGGCTTTAGGGCTGCTCCTGCTCCCAACCTCAGCTGCTCCATGGTCTTTTCCTGCAGCTTTTCCTTGGGACAGCTCAGCCCTGGGCTGGCAGCAGCCCTGGGGAAAGAAGTCCTGAGCCAGGGGGGAATAATAATGGATCAAAATGACAAAATCACCAAATTTTACGAGGAGCTGCAAATTCCAGCTGCTGCCAGGGTTCGTTTCTCAGTTGTGCTGAGCCCCCAGCTCTGCCCTGGTGGATCCAGGAACATTCAGCATCTCCCAAAATGCAGCTGGGTGATCCCAGAGCCAGGAATTGTCCTGCTCACCTTGGAGCTGGGATGGGGGGCAGAGGAGCCTGGCACAGGGGTGTCCCCAAGGAGGGACCTCAGGGACCTTTTGGGGTCCAAACCCATCTGGGCCACGCACTCCCAACCTGAATCCACCTCTGCAGCCTTCCCAAATCCCTTCCCTTGACCCCTTGAGCTTTTTGGGAACCTCACCCCAAACCAGTACAGCGACAATAACTCAGATTTATTTATTTATTCTCCGAAAAAAACCAACAGCTTGTTTTATTCAAAGCAAATACAATTTATGTTACAACCCCAGCTGAGCCCTCCCACCCCCAATTACAACCCTAATTAATTACAGCCCCAATTCCAGCCAGTGCCAGGATAAAGATCCACATGCCCTTTCTCTTTACACTTAGTGCTTTTAACAATTAAAAATAATGTAAATTCTGTCTGGAGACACCAAAGCTCAAAGGTTTGTATGAAAAGGGATAGACAAGACCCCCTGTGTCTGATTCCATCCCATTCCTTTGGAATTCCCATTATTTTAACCTTTCCTGGTTAATAATGGCAGGGAGAAGCTGCAGGATCAGGCGCTTGCACTGCACTGACAGATTCTGTGCGGGGCTTTTTGCCAATTACATAATTAATTACAACCTTCCAGGCAGTGGGAGCAGGCTCACAAATTCTACATACTCTGGAGTCTCTGTACTTGAAAAAAAATAACAAAATGAAGGTTTTCTTCAAAGGCTCTGGCATGAGTTTTCAGTTCGGCTGAGGAATGGCAGGGAGGGAGGGGGATGCTCCCCAAACAGGAGGCAGAGCCCAATCTCCATCCACCAGCAGAGCAAGACCCATCCCTGCTGGCAGATAAAGAGCTAAAGCACAAACCAGGGTTTACAGGAACATGAAGCAACAGCACAAAGAGCAAAAAAAAAAAAGGAGAAATTTCTTTTTTAAAAATCGAGGAATTAAAAAAAAAAATAGAGTAATTTTTTAAAAAATCAAGTAGTAAAAAAAATCAGGTTCTTAAAAAAATCAGATTGTTAAAAAATAATTTCTTTTTATGAAATCAAGTAATTTAAATAATGAAGTAGTTTCTTTAAAAAAATCAAGTAATTTCTTTTTTTCTAAAAAAAACCCAAGTAATTTCTTTTAACAAATCAAGTAATTTCTTAAAAATATATCAATTTATTAAAAAAAATAATAAAAATCAAGGTCTTAAAAAATTCATGTGCAGAGGTGAAGATCATTTTGGTCCCAGCAGAGGAGGTGGGATGTGCCACGTGTGTAACTGAGCTCTGCTCTCGGGGGGATGGTGCCCGGGGTTCCCAGCCTGAATTATTTCAGATCATTTGCAATTTGACCTGGTGGCAATAAGACCTGGAAACAGCTGGAACATCTCCCAAACCTACTGGAAAAAACCTTATTTAAAGCAGTGAATGGTTCAAACCTCTCACGATGGAAGAAGAGGAGGAGGCAAACCCCAAAATGAACCCCCAACAAATTATTACACCTCGGTTCAGTTTAACCACACAAAACAGCTCGGTTTAGTCGTTTTTCTGCTGGGGGTTGTCCTTCCAGATGCGGATGGTGAGGCAGGTGGCCATGGCCAGCCAGGCCAGGTAGGGCAGCAGCAGCGCTGCCGCCAGCCTGTTGATGCGGTACCAGGAGCACATCGTGCCGATGACCAGCCCGTCCAGGCACAGCACATCCACCAGCGCCTGCGGCGGGGAGAACTCGCCTTTAGAGCTGCTCCAGCCCAGAGCAGGGAGATCTGAGCATTCCCCAGGGTCTGGGGGGTGTTTGGAGCACAGACATGGAGCTGCTCAGGACCCCTGGACACATCCCAGCCCTGTCCCTGCCACCCTGGAACTGCCCTGGAACCAGCCCCCCTCCCTCTGTCTCCAGGCCTTTCTCCTCCTGGGTTTGCCCCTTGTGATTCCTGGAGCTGCTCAGGGAAATTTTGGGAATAAAGGATTGAGGAGAAGCCTCTGCATCTCTGGCTGCCAGCTCAGAGGATGGAAAAAACCCACAGGCTCAGGGAAAGGCTGCTGGAATCTGTTCTCAGAGGATGCCCCTGAAGTTCTGCTGCTTCCAGAGGGGCTGATCCCAGTCCTGGGCAGTCCCAGGCTCGTGTTCCCCTGGGATGGGAGGCCAAGGTCAGCTCCCTGCAGCTCTCCTGGGCCCCTGCACAACATCCCAGGGAGAATCCCAGACACTGGGGGCAGAAATAAAATGTGGGATGGATGGACAGGAAAAATCCCTGGGGAGGGAGGGGGATCCTGCCCTGGGATCCCAGCCAGGGGTTGAGGATTCCAGGCATGTGCCAATGAGGGAACCGTGCCTGGCAGGGAAGGATTCTGTATAAAAAAGGAAAATGATAAAAACAGGAGTGTTCCCTGAGAACTGCAGGATTTGTCAGCCCTGCACTGCCCAAAGGTCTCACTGCAGCTGGGGATGGGCAGGATGGCGGTGCCAGCCCGAGGGACGCGGTACCTGCGCTCCCCATCAGCGACACCCCAGCGTGTCACTCTAATTAATGCTCTCATTAAGGAATCCCGCGGATCAACACCCTGCTCCTGCCCTTTGCAGCACAGAACCTGCTGCACTTTCGGGCGACGTTTTCCACCCCCAGAGTGACAAAATTCAGGTGGAAACGCCAATGCCCGTCCGTGCCGCTGGCACCTGAGGCCCGGCGGCCCAGCCCGGCTGTGGCAGTGCCCGATAAGCCCCCGGGAGCTGCTCCCCGTCAGGGATGTGACAGTGCTGTTGTCACTCAGGGTGTGTCCCCACAAAGGACTTTATCTCCCAGCCCCGACCCTTAACTGGGGGGTGCAGCCCTGGCACTGCCCAGCCCCGGATCCCCCGCCCCGGCTATCGGGGCAAGCCTGGAGGGGCCGATAGCATCGTGTGTGCCTGGAGCTGGGCTCAAACTCCTGGTAGAGCCGTGTAATCCCCCCCGGCACAGCCCCAAAGCCCCCCAAAGCCCCATTACCATGTTGAGGTTGTGGGCACCGAAGAACAGGGGGGGCCAGGCCCAGTTGAGCGCCAGCTGAGCCCCGTAGAGCCCCATGGGGACGATGGCCTTGCTGCCGCAGCCACCCAGGTCGTTCCACACCAGGTAGGAGGCGTAGCTGTGAGGAGGGACAGGGGGCTCCTGCAGGAGTGTTTTCCCCACCAGGGATTTGCACCGCAGCAGGATCCACGTCAGGCTCTCTGGGAGCAGGGCCAGGGCCAAAGGAAGGGGTCTGGCGAGGGTTGGGTTGGGTAGCAGGGAAAATTCTTCCACCCCCACCTCAAGAGCCCAGGGAATGGGGAGTTCCTCGGGAAATCCTCCCTGAGGCTCCCAGTGCTCCAGGAGCACTTGGACACCTCTCCAGGGATGCACAGGGTGGGGTTTTGGGGTGTTTGTGCAGGGCCAGGAGCTGCAGTGGATGATCCCTTTCCAGCTCGGGTTATTCCATTGGATTCCATTCCACACCTCTGTTGTCCCTCGCTCCTCCCAGAGCTCCCCTGTCCCACACCTGGGAGGCTCCTGCCCCCTGCCCCAGCTGGTTCAGGAGACCCCAAAGGGCAGGGCAGAGCTGGCAGGACCAGCAGGACAGGGGGCAGCAGTGCCAGCACTCACCCCATGCCCGTGTACAGCATGGTCCAGGCCACAGGGAACATTTTGCGGGGTGGGCACCACGAGGGTTTCTTCAGCTTCTCGTACCACTCCGGGCTTTCCTTCCTGTTGAGGAACCAGCCAAGGAATCCTCCAACGTGGGGCAGGACGGTGAAGCCCACGGTGTAAGCCCACATCCTCCCTCAGGGGCTTGAAATCGCTTTTTTCCTGCTCAAAAACAAAATCACAGCATCACTTTTAAAGGAACGGGTTTTTTACCTACTTCCATCCTTTGATTCCACATTCCACTTCAGCCCCTAAGGCAAATGGAAAGGATTTAATGTGTTCAGCCCCCTCTGTCCCTCTCTGAAATGGGGATTATTCCTGCCCCTCTGATTTTCCCACTCTTTCCCAGCTCCCTGCAATATTCCTGCGAGGTGGGAGGATTGTGAGGGCTGTCCCCATCCCCACTCCTGGAGCTGCTCCCCCTCCTCTGCTGCCCCAGGGGTAAAAATTCAAACTCCATTTAGACTTCCCCATGATTTTTCAACGTGGATTTCTATTTTAATTTCTATTTTGAAAGATGTCTATGACAGAAAAATCCTTCCAGTGGCTTGAAGCACTCCAGGAACCCTCGGCTGTGCAAGGGGGGAGCTGAGGCACAGGGGGAGGCTCTCAATTTGTTCACGGACTCCTTTTGTATAAAAAATTTATTTAATAATAAAAATGTTCCCACACAATGCAGGGTAACACCAGGACACATCCAGAATTCAGCGCCTGTCCTGCGTTTTCCCCTGCAGAGCTCCAAACCTGCCACTCTTCCATCCTCCCGAAATTCCCCTTCCCTCTGCATCCAGCCAGGAATTAAAGCCCGATTAGCATTCGTCAGGAGCGCAGCTCTGAGCTGTCAGCTCCAGCACAAAATGCACCTGGGAAGGTTCGGGATTTAGGAATTCAGGAAGAGCAGAGCGGGCACGGAGCAGTTCCTGAGCCAGGGAAATGTCCCGGAGCCAGGGAAATGTCCCCGGTGCCCGGGGAAACCGGGAATAGAGGATGGCACTGACCTGAGCAGGCTCTGCCTGGGATTTCAGTTCGCAATTAACGCTCCGCTGCACGCTCAATAATAACATATAATAACAATAATAACAATAATTGTTATTATTGTTACCGCAGAGTGTTTGGGAATGCGGTGGGAGCCAATTCCCACCACACCCGGACACCCCGGAGCCCACCTGAACCAACAATTCCTTCACCTGACAATTGCTGGCACTCTCCAAACACCCACGGAGCCAGGAAACGACTGAAAAATGAGACAAATTCCGTTCTGCTTTAACCGCGACCCAGCCCCGCCGAGCTCTGCTTCCCACCCACCCCAACTGGGGAAAAGAGATTTTCCCCAATTCCTTTGCAGAGGTGAAGGAGGATTGAAAATCCTTACCTGGGTCAGCGCCTCGCTCCGCCTGGCCGAGGGAAGGGCTGGGACATCCAGGAGCGGCGGTCCCCGAGTGCAGCCGGGTTTTACCCAAATAGCCCCAAACTGGGCGGTGCGGGGCGGCTGGATCAGATTAAACCGGGAGCTCCCGCCGGGGACAATCGCCGAGAGTTTGGGGTGCTGGAGCCCGGGACAATCACAGGGAATTTGGGAAGGTGGAGCCCGGGGATGATCACTGGGAATTTGGGATGGGGCAGCCTGGGGATGATCACAGGGAATTCGGGATGGGACAGCCTGGGACAGTCACTGGGAATTTGGGATGGGGCAGCCCGGGGATGATCACTGGGAATTTGGGATGGGGCAGCCCGGGGATGATCACTGGGAATTTGGGATGGGGCAGCCTGGGGATGATCACTGGGAATTTGGGATGGGGCAGCCTAGGGATGATCACAGGGAATTTGGGATGGGGCAGCCTGGGACAGTCACTGGGAATTTGGGATGGGGCAGCCTGGGGATGATCACTGGGAATTTGGGATGGGGCAGCCTGGGGATGATCACTGGGAATTTGGGAAGGTGGAGCCCGGGGATGATCACTGGGAATTTGGGATGGGGCAGCCTGGGACAGTCACTGGGAATTTGGGATGGGGCAGCCTGGGACAGTCACTGGGAATTTGGGGTGCCAGGGCCCAAGAGGGTCACGGTGGCTTTGGGGCTGTCCCCACCGGGATGGAGCCGGATCCACAGCCGGGTTGCCCCACGGGAGGGCACATCCCAGAGCCTGGCCCTGGTGTGGGCACCAGGCAGGAGCTGCTGCTGCTGCGGGGTGTCCCTGCCACACTCGTGTGTCACTGTCACACTCACGGGTGTCCCTGCCACACACGGGTGTCCCTGTCACACTCATGGGTGTCCCTGCCACACTCAGGGGTGTCACTGTCACACTCAGGGGTGTCACTGTCACACTCATGGGTGTCCCTGTCACACTCACGGGTGTCCCTGCTACACTCAGGGGTGTCCCTGTTGCACCCATGGGTGCCCCTGTCACACTCAGGGGTGTCACTGTCACATTCAGGGGTGTCCCTGCCACACTCAGGGGTGTCCCTGCCACACCCATGGGTGCCCCCGCCACACTCCTGACCTGCCCCACCCTCCCGTGTCCCCAGGGGCTCATTAACACCCAGTAATTAACCAGCTGCTTCCCAGCGCAGCCTGTGCAGCCCTTTGGCCAAAAGGCTCCTGCAGGTAAAGCGGAGCCGCTCCAGGGGCAGAGGGAGAAGGCAGAAATCAATTTCCATTAGGGATCTGTCTGCCAGGGCTGCCAAAATGAAACACTAATTCCCAGCAGTTCTGGGTCATTACCTGGATTTCATGGAAGCAGGAGCAGGGCTGGCTCCTCGCACGCTGGGATTTTGCTGCTGCAACAGGAATCAGGAAAATCTCCTCTTTTACTGGACTCCCAAGGGAATTATCTTGGTTTTTTTGGATTTTTTTTTTTCATGGGAAGAGAAAGAAAGGAGAGAAAAAAAACCACTGTAAAAAGAAAAAGCTGGAATTCCAGCTGGCCCGAATCCTGCCGTGGGTCGGTCCAGTGGAATTCCCACTCCCACAGTGACAGGCTCAGTGCTCGTTAATCACACCCCAGCCACCTGCATCTTCTCCCAGAGCCTGTTGCTATTTGTGACTGGAAATTTGTGTCATGGAATGATGCAGCTCCTAAAAGCGCCCGAATGGTTTCCATCGGAGTCAGCCCCTGCTGCCTCCACCAGCCCCCGGCAGCTCCAGCAAAAAAACACAGATTTTGACAATTTTCAGCTGGAGATGTTTCCCCCCCCTGGGCACGAGCCCAATGCCAGGGTTACTGCATGGCTTGGCAGGAGTGTGCCCAGCCTGGGCTGGAATTTAATGTGCTGGAAGAATGAGAAGCTGAGGGTCAAATCCCGAGGATCTGTGAATCAGTGATGCTGGGAATGCTGCTGGTGATGGGGGAATAGAAAAAGGGAAAAGGGAAAAAATAACAGGGGCAGCTCCAGGCCTAAAATTGTGTCTTTGCTGAGCTTTAGGGCAAAGAAAGGGATTAGGAAGTCATGGAATGGTTTGGGTTGGAAGGGACCTTAAGGATCACCCAGTGCCACCCCTGCCATGGCAGGGACACCTTCCACCACCCCAGGCTGCTCCAAGCTGTGTCCAGTCTGGCCTTGGGCATTTCCAGGGATCCAGGGGCAGCCCCAGCTGTTCTGGGTACTCTGTGCCAGGGCCTGCCACCCTCCCAGGGAATTCCTTCCTGATTCATTCACATGGAAACCTGGGATGCACAGAAGAATGGGCTGAGATTTGCCCCAGGTAGCTCCCAGCAGGCTCCCATTCCCTCCTGGGCACGGACCAGGCTGGTCTGGAGCTGGGAAGAGCCTCTCTGCCAGTGATCGTTGGGTGCTGATGAAGCTGAAATTTGGTAGGAGACAGCAAGAGGGAGGCAGAAACAGCAGGATTGGCTTTGGGAAGTTTTTGGTGGCACCACCAGTGCTGGAGCCAGCCTGGATTTACCTCTGCCACGAATCCAAGCACAGCCACCCCGAGGGATGTGTGTTGTGCCCTTGGGGCTCCTCCTGCCCTGGGCATGTGCTGGAACAGGGAAAAGCTCTGGGAATGCTCTGGGAAGGTTCTCCAGCACAGGGAACAGCCCTGGGAATGCTCTGGGAAGGTTCTCCAGCACGGGGAACAGCTCTGGGAATGCTCTGGGAAGGTTCTCCAGCACAGGGAACAGCCCTGGGAATGCTCTGGGAAGGTTCTCCAGCAGAGGGAAAAGCTCTGGGAATGCTCTGGGAAGGTTCTCCAGCAGAGGGAAAAGCTCTGGGAATGCTCTGGGAAGGTTCTCCAGCAGAGGGAACACCTCTGGGAATGCTCTGGGAAGGTTCTCCAGCACAGGGAACAGCTCTGGGAATGCTCTGGGAAGGTTCTCCAGCTCTGGGAAAGCTCTGGGAATGCTCTGGGAGGGTTCTCTGGCAGAGGGAACAGCTCTGGGAATGCTCTGGGAAGGTTCTCCAGCTCTGGGAACAGCTCTGGGAATGCTCTGGGAAGGTTCTCTGGCAGAGGGAACAGCTCTGGGAATGCTCTGGGAAGGTTCTCCAGCAGAGGGAACAGCTCTGGGAATGCTCTGGGAAGGTTCCCTCCAGCACAGCCCTGCCTTTCCCCAGCTCCCATGGATTTACACCTGGATATTTCTGCATTGGATCACTCCAGAGTGACCCAGGCTGAGCTGAGGCTGCTCTGCAGTGGAGTCTTGCCCACCCCAGGGCTCGGGACACTCGGGGTTTGGGAGCCCCGGCTGTGCCGCATCCCTGCGGAGCGTGGGACACGCAGAGCTCGCTTACACAGCGCTGTTTGTTTTCCTCTTCTTAGCAACCCCCGCACGTTGTCCCCGGAGGTGCTGGCTCCATGCAAGATTAATTGCTCAAATAGAAAGGCCCTGTTAACCTGAATATATTATTGAAAAGCGGCATATTTCAATCCGCCCTAGATTTGAAAATAGAGATGCCGGGTCAGCTGCTGGCATAAATCTGCAGAGCTCCTGGAAGCCGGCGGAGCTTCTCTGATTTACAGCGGCAATAAAGGCGGCCTGGCTCGGCCCTGGGGTGGGGACTCGCCCGGCTGCCACCGGACGTGGCAAGGGACAGGCAGGACTCTCATGGCCATCCCTGTGACCTGCCAGCCCCGACACTGCAGCACCAAACATTTCCTTGTGCTGCACTGAAAAAAACAACAACAAAACCAAAGCACCACCCTACTTTTATTTTCTTTTTCTCAAAGGTTGTTTTTTTTTGTTGTTTTTTGGGGTTTTTTTTGTGATGCAGACATAAAAATCCTGGCTCGCATGAAGGGATACAGGAATTTCCAGCTGGCCACTTGGGGTTTTTCCATGTGGGCTGGAGCCCCCAGCCTTTCAGACTGGATGTGGGATGAGCAGGGAGCTGGATTTCCACCTTCTCCCCGCTAGAGGGGATTTTTAAACGGGTCGTTTTTGGGGATGAAAGTTTGGTTTTGGTGTGTTCTGAAACCCTGCCTAAGGGACCGGCTGGGCTGGGGTGCACAGGGATTGGAAAGAGCTGGAAGTGGGATGGAAACTGGGGGATGGATGGATGGATGGATGGATGGATGGATGGATGGATGGATGATGGATGGATGGATGGATGGATGGATGGAAAAGGGGGGGGATGGATGGAAACGGGGGGGATGGATGGAAATGGGGTTGGAGCTGCCTGGAAGAATGGCAGAATGGGGCTGGAGGGGACAGACAGGGACAGAAAGGGGCTGGCAGGAGCTGCCTGCTGTGATAACGCCGAGCCAGGGCTCGCCCTTATCTGCGCTCAGGAGCCTCCCGTGCTCAGCCAAAGGAGCGAATTCCAGCGGCTCCAGCTCCTCTCCTGCCCCGCTGGCACAGCCGGGCCACGCCGTGCTGGGCTTAGCAAATTAGCACCGTGCAGCTAATGAACCGCGCTCGGGCACGGCTCCGGGGCCGGGAAATATTTGCATTTCGGCTCCCCAGACCGGTAAAACCAGCTCGCTGCAAGCCTTGGGACACCCGGGACAGCCCCTGCCAGCCACGGCCAACTCTGCCAGCCCCTTCCAACTCTTTCCAATCCCTTCCAGCTTCTCCCAAATCTTTCCACCCCTTCCAGCCTCTTCCAACCCTCTTCAGCCCATTCTAACTCCTGACAGTTCCTTCCAGTCCCATCCAACTCTTCCCAATCCCTTCCAGCCTCTTCCAATCCATTCCAGCCCATTCCAGCCCCCTCCCAGCCTCTTCCATCCCCTTCCAACTCCTTCCAATCTTTTCCAGCCTCTTCAGCCCATTCTAACTCCTGACAGTTCCTTCCAGCCCTTGCCAGCCTCATCCAACTCTTCCCAATCCCTTCCAGCCTCTTCCAATCCATTCTAGCGCTTTTCCAGCCCATTCCAGCCCCCTCTCAAACTCTTCCATCCCCTTCCAACTCTTCCCAATCCTTTCCAGCCTCTTCCAATCCCTTCCAGTCTCTTCATCCCATTCTGACTCCTGACAGTTCCTTCCAAACCCTTCCAGCCTCTTCCAGCCCCTGCCACCCCACTTCCAGTCCCTCCAAGTCCATCCCAGCCCCTTCCAGCTCCTAGCAGCTCCTTCCAGTCCCTTCCAATCCCTCCCAGCCCTGTCCTGCCCACAGCAGGGTGGCACTGCCC